ACACATTTTGAAAAATTGCTTATTATATTTTGAAAAATTACTTATTACAGTTACTAAAGAAGAAATAATAAGCGTTATCATTTCTGTAATTTTGTACAATTCGCTGGCATTTGGTGTCTCATGAGAATGCATTTCATACGTGGAAAGTAAGTGATAAAAGTAACGATTGTATTTATCACCGTTATCAAAAAAGTATGATTGCACCACATTGTTATTAATGGAAAGATAATTAATTACAAAATTAACTTGTAACGTTAACGACACAAGTGACGCGTTACTTTCCTGTACTGGGATTCTGTAACTCGTTTTTGGAACGAGTTTCGTTATCGTTGTGCAGCTTTTCTGCGGTATATAAAAGCTGCGCAACGATAACGAAACTATCGTTAATTCCAATAACGAGTTACAGAATAGGGCTACTGGTTCTTATCCGACATAGTCGATAGTTTCATTATGATTACGACGACGGTTATAAATGAATGTTACGCGGCGTTGTTTACGGCGATGAAGATGAAGAATATCGGAAATGCTAATGAAAATGCATTCTTATAAATTGTGTACTTCCAGCTTGTATAAATCCGGTCTTTACTTTGACTAAGGACAAAGGAATCGCGCAAACATCCGCCGATATGGATCGAGCAATACTGCTTGAATATTCTAGTTTCCTATTTCTGATATTGAAAGACTCACTTGTCTGTCATGATCACAGTATTATTCATGTGCGATAAATAACAAAAAAAATGTTGAATATTTTAAATTTGATTTTTAGAGATTTCCCTGAAAGATTTCCATATTTATAACATTTGGGTAATTTTCTAACATGAGAAGTCATGCCGGAAAATGGTTTCTCCTTTGGGTCGTCGGTTTAATCATCTGAAGTAGCAGCAGTTCTCTCTTCGCTGCCTCTTAATATGGCTTAATTACTTCGTTTCAATTAAATTGCTATTGCGATAATAGCTTAATTATTTCGGATCACTGCTAGTTTCCTCCTTTGTCTCGCTGATTATTTCATTTAAATTAGATTATTATGTAATTACATATTGCTTCCACTATGACAGCGATGTGTAATAATATTTATATAGAGAAAGAGAGAGAGAGAAAGAGAGAGAGTGAAAGAGTTTATATTTCCTCGTAATAAATAAATTCTATAAACACATGTTTAATTGTTAATTAAGTTTGCTCACAAAGTATCAGAAATGCTAATGAAAATGCATTCTTATAAATTGTGCACTTCCAGCTTGTATAAATCCGGCCTTTACTTTGACTAAGGACAAAGGAATCGCGCAAACATCCGCCGATATGGATCGAACAATACTGCTTGAATATTCTAGTTTCCTATTTCTGATATTGAAAAACGATATTGATTATTACTATTTGAATTACTAATTGAATTTATTTGCAAAATATCGATATTATGTGACTATCTGCGCATCTTTCTTGCACAATATGTCAATATAAATCTTACAATATTTTATATATAATATTTAAGGAGAGAAAAAGTTAAAATTTCTTCATAACAAATCCTACAAACATACTTTTAATTATTCATTAAATTTATCTAGAAAGTATCAATAATTATTTGCATTTTTTGTCAGCTGTCAATACAAATCTTCTAATATCTTGTATATAATAACATTTATAGAGAGAGAGTTTAAATTTCTCCATAATAAATAAATTTTACAAATACATTTTTAATCAGTTGAATTTATTTACAAAGTATCAAGTATATCATGTGTCTATATTTGCGTCTCTCAATACCAATTAAAGTTTTAAATAAAGTTTTAAAAAGCCGGTTAAATCGCTGGAAAAAAAACAGGAAAAAAAAGATTTTTCCGGAAAATCAGTCTTTTTGAGAAAAATGGCTGTTTTTGTTAAAGAAAAGATATTTTTAGAGAAAATATTTTATTTTATTTGATGAATAAACTATGATTTATATATATTTATGATTTATGATATATTTATTTATGTTATTATATTATATTATTTATGTGTGGCTTGCTGTTTGTTTCTCTTGTATTTATTATCACAAATAAAAAGAAGAAAAGAACTTTAAGGTCAGATGTGAAGTAAAAACATGCAAAAATTAGAATGTTATCACAGAGTTTCAAGTTTTAATAAGTACTTCCACGAGATATAAAATACTTTCTGTAATGATGTAGTGCTTACTATATAATCGATATAAAATTGCAATACAATAATCCAAAAATATACAGGATATATATATATATATATATATATATATATATATATATATAATGTATATATAGTTTTCTATCAGATTCTGTTTGCAAACTCTGTCGACAGAACAAGGTGACTACGGATTTTCGTCGACAGATTACACATGTTCAATCTGTCGTCAGACTGCTAACAGATTGCTCACTGGCTTCATTTATCTTCTGTTAAATGCACACAATTATTTTCTTTACAGAAAGAAGCAAATGTAGTATGTTCTAATCAAACACACACGAATTTTTCAAACGAATTTTTCTACCATTGGGAAAGAAGCCAAAAAAATTCACGGAAAAATTGGAAAAAAAACTATTTTTTCCGAACTTTTAAAACAATAATACAAATCTTATGTATAATAACATCTATAAAGAGAGAAAGGGAGAGTTTAAATTTTCCCATAACAAACAAATCCTATAAACATATTTTTAATTGTTAATTAACTCTCTAATGGGCGCGTGGGGTGTTTTTATACCCCAGACTTCTTTTTTTTTAGATTTCACATAAAAATAAATTTTTTTCAGTGCCACACTCCTCGGTACCTTTCTTTAATACTTTGTCTAACCTTTCAAATTTGGTAGTGTTCATGAATTTTAATTAGTATCGTCTATCGACGCTGTTAAAATCGGCTGGGGTTTAATTTACATCCCACGCGCTCACTCACGTTACACTTTGGGTCTGTTCGTATTTCTTACACTTTCCGCACTTGTACTTTTTCGCACTCGTATTTTTTCTTTTTCAATTTACATTTGTTTAAACAAATGATGGTAATCGATTCTACTAAAAAAAAGAATAAACTTTTGTTCTTGAACATTTTTTTATCCGAGTCTTATTTTTATTGCAAAATGGTTATAAATCTTTGATTATATAAGTATGGACTGCCAGTTGGCATTCTTACACTGTAATCAACATGAAGAACAAGGGCCTTGACCTCCAAGGACTAAGTGGCGAATCCCAGTATTTCGATGATATATTGTGAACTCACGTATAGTAGCAAACCAATACCTTTACCAGTTCAATGCTTGATATTCATTAATTTTTACATGTCAAAAAACTGAACATATTAGAGAACCACAAATATATATTAATTAAATTAATAATAACATTTTATTTTCAAGTAAAATTATTTTAAAAGTAAATATATTACAATGTCTAAACAAACAGATTTTTTTAGACACAAAACGAAAGTCGTAATTTTTAGCGGGTAATAATATTATATAATTATAATTACACAAATATTGCATAATTAAATTCAATAATACATATATATGTATTATTGAATCTATTAATTATACAATATTTATATATATTTAATAATACATTTTATATGCTATGTATACGCAATATATATATACATTTATTATTGTCTTTATTTCACTATGTGTGTTAAGTTTATACATACATATATTTTATTTATACTGCAAGTGGTTCTGCACTTTATCAAACGTGATAAAACAGCGCGGCGTATGTCATATTCCATCTCTCTCTTCCTTCCTGTTTTATTATCGAAATCTAACTTCATGTTTCGATTTTTTGATGTTTCATTTATCCCTCGGGGCCACGCATGATGTTGATTACATAGCGAAGCATTGTGAGAATAGGAAAAGTGGGGATAAGCAGTCTATACTTATATAGTCAAAGTTATAAACGAATTAGAGTTGCTAAGGCGGCTTCAGACCATGCCTCCGTGAATAACGATAATTTGATATCAGAAAAGTGCCGCAATCAAAAACAAAAATACAAGAATAAAAGTATTTATTCTTTTTTAATTTACAATAATGGAAACAATGTTTTATAAACAAATTGTATAAAACATCGAGATTTTGCAAAACAAATGACGGCAGTTGATTCTACTAAAAAAAATAACAAACTTTTATTCTTGTACATTTTTTTTATCCGAGCTTTATTTTCATTACAAAATGGCTTCCGGTCTGGAACCTCTTTTGTAACTCTGGTTTGTAGCCATTTTGTAGTGAAAATAAGGTTTAGATAAAAAAATGTACAAGAACAAAAGTTTATTATTTTTTTTAGTAGAATCGATTGCCATCATTTGTTTTGCAAAATCTCGATGTTTTATACAATTTCTCTTACAAACTACACTATGCATCGTTAAATTTTTTATAATAAACTATAAGATATTTCAAGTTATTGAACAGTTTGTAAAAATTGAGTGTTCTGGACTCATTTCAATATAAAACTAGTTATTATTAAAAAAACATTAAAATTAAAGTTTCAACCTATTAATATAGCTTAAGAAACGTACAACGATGGATATAGGAAATTTATATAGAAAATTAAATATATTTATTGGTTTAATATTTATAAATAATGTGGGGTGTAATTTACATTCCGCGCGCCTATTGGAATTTCAAATTTTGACGCGCCTATTGGAGGGTTAAATTCACCTGTAAAGTAGCAATATCGTGTAACTATTTGTCAACTGTCAATGCAAATCTTATAGTATCTCATAATTTTGTATCTCATAATTATAATTTCTCTCTCTTTCTCACACATACAAAAAATTTTTTTTCTACAAAGTAGACTGATCCTTGACATCGCAATGATAATCGTTTAATTTTTCCCTAATATTAAATTGCAAAGAACTCAATGCAACGTTGTATGCACACGTGTTTTTGGACAATTCCAAGACGATACCCTTGATCCTGACAAAGTTATGAGGTCAAACGGTCACGCGGTCTCACCCTCACCGGTGCGGCATGGTGTAGGGTGGTTTGCGATAGATGCAGGCGCGGCGTCGCGACGCCAAAGCGGCGAGCGAGCTTTCGGTTGCGCGCGGCTTCCCGCTCGATACCCGCTGCGGCAAAAGCCGGTTATCCGGTTCCGCCGTCGTCTGGTAGCGGGCAAATGTCGCCGGCATCGGAGGTGACGACGGCGGCAGCGGTGGCGGTGGCGGCGTCGACAAGGTAGTGGGAGCAGCCTCCGTTTTATTTCTGTCCCGGCCTCGTCGGGACCGGCCTCGCGAGTGCGGCGTGAGTATACCTCTCGCGCGTACGCGAGGAACGGACTCGCCGAACACGAGAACGAGAAGTGTCCGGGGGGCCATAGTCGCGACATGGAGGAGAGCTACACGGTGCACAGGCGTCGCAAGGCGGCCGCCAGGAAGCGCGAGAAGACACCCGACCCGTCGTCGAGGGGCGCGTCGCGCATAGACACCACGGACGACGAGGACGAAGAGAGGCGCGCCCGGATGGAGAGGATGGCTGAGGAAGCGGAAAAAATGGAGCGGCAGCAGGACACGCCGAAGGAACCGGAAGATAAAAAGGATAAGAAGAAAAACCAGCAGGAGCAACAGCCTGCCGTGAGAAGGAAAGAGAAGCAAGATGCGAGGAATTTCGCGAATGTAGATGACATGGTCGCTATACGCGCCGAAGTGGCCGCCAAGTCAGCTGGGAATAGTCCGAAGACACGTGAGACTGACGCTGCCACCGCCGCCGCAACGGCGACTAGCGATGACACGCGGCCGGTAAAGCAGACGGTGGAAGCGGCGAACAAGTCTGAAGACGGTACCACGAAGAAAGAAACGCTCAAGCCTGAAGCAATCAAGGTCGTTCAGGAAAAGGTCGTCCAGGACACGCCAGAGACGCCGAAGGAGACAGTCAGCGTCGGCGAGACCGCGAAATCTGGCGAAGTCCGCAAAGTGGAGAGACGCTTGAAGAGAAGGTCGAAAGAGCGCGTAGAGAGATACAGTCGATCAACGGACTCCAGCGATGTGGATGAGAAGAACGAACCCAGTCGAAGAAGAACGAAGTCGCCCGAGGTAGCGAGAGCCCGGCTGAAGAAGACGAGTGGCAAGAGTCGAGGTGGTAGCGAGTCAGAAGCACAGAAGAGGGATGCCGAGAGACTGAATCGCGAGAAGAGGTCATCCAGCAGGCCGGAGAAGCTGGAGGACGCCGAACCTCGAGTGAAAGAGAACTCCGAGAAGTCGCATTCGAGACCCTACAGCCAGACTGAGGACACGGAACCTGAGGAATCGAGAAGCATGAAGAAGAGCGAGAGCTTTCCGCAGAAGACCGTTGAAGAGCGCGTCGTCAAGAGGTCCTCGAGCGATTTGAAGAAACAGATCATCCCGTTGAGCAATGATAGTCTGATCGAGGACTTCGCGAGGGCGCAGAGGGAGTACCTGTTAAGGGAGCGCAGCATTTTGGATCCGGAACCCGCGGACGAGTTCCAAGACGCAGCCGAAGTGAGCCTTCTGAGGAAGCGGAAGTTCAGTTCGACGCCCACGGAGAGCGAACAAGAGAAGATCGTCGAAGAGGTAGCGCAGTCCACCAAAAAGCAGAAGAGTTCGTGGTTTTCTTGGCTGACCTTTTGGCGCAGGAAGAAAGAGGATAAAGAGGACAGGCAGGATAAGGATGTTGCAATAGAGGATGAGGTAGAGGATGAGGTAGAGGATGAACTGAAGCCAGCCGTGAAGCCGGTTGAAGAGGTGAAAAAAGTGACGAAGCAAGAAGTCCCGGAGAAGATCACGTTGCTGGACTTCCTCAGGGCTCTGAAAGACGTCGTCAGCGAGTTCCAGGCCTTCGTGGCGCAAAACTCACGGGAGACGATGATCATCAGAAGGATGCGCAATCGCTGCATCGCCGGGTTGATTCTCGTGATCATTTACTGCGGCCTCGGTGCTTTCGTCTTCCGGTTCGTCGAAGGCGCCTTCGAGACCTTCTACAAGTGCGGCGTGAAACGTGTGAAGAGGGATTTCTTGGACAGCCTGTGGAACTATAGTCATAATTTGCGGGAGGACGACTGGAAGAGTATGGCGCGCAAGAAGCTGATGGAGTTCGAGGAGCAGCTGCACACCGCGCACGAAGCCGGCGTGCACAGCTACAGCGGTCAGAAGAACTGGAGCTTCTTGAACGCGGTCGGGTATTGTCTTTCTGTCATCACCACCATCGGTGAGGATACGTCCCGAGGCGCGTTAGACCAGGACTAATTTTTCCCTCTCTGATTCTCTCTAAGCCGATTGACTGCAAGAATTGTCTTCACTCTTCGGACGGTATTCATATGCTCAAAGAAAAAGACATGGTGATGGCAACTATATAGGTGACAACTATACGAGTTTTATACGTAGAATTAATGTATATAGTTTAATAAACTATTTTATAGTGTTATTACAATTAAAGATTTATAGTTGCAATAATATAAAACTATAAAATAATTTCTTAAAATATGTATCATAATTCTACACGTTAAACTCGCATAGTTGTCATGCTTTTCTCTGCATGTGCTTAAATCTTATATTCAAGATAGTTTCATGCTTAAGTTTGTTTTAAGATATTGTATTCAATTAAAAAGCATCTTAAAATGAACTCTTCTTAATGAATAAGGCTATCTTGAATATAACCTAGTAAATACCAACTGACACATAGAGAGAATTTTAATAAATATTTTAGTAAGAATTTCTACAGAATTTGGTAACTGATGAATAGATCAACATTATACAGCAATTAACTATCCTTGCATTTCGTATACAATCAGAGAAAATGATGGTAGTGTCAGTTGTATAGGCGACAATTGCACGAGTTCCGTATATAGAATTAACTTGTATAGTTTAACAAACTATAGTTAAACAAAAGTTTTAGTTGCAACAACTATAAAATAATTTATTTAACTATATATATATTAGAACTCTACATACAAAACTCGTTCTCATTGATACAGTTGTCATTACCATGTTTTTTCTGAGTGTGTGCTACTTATATTTTAAGAGAACTGAAATGCGTTATTAACAAAAGTGCTGCTTCTAGCAAAATTTGCTGCATTCCTTAACAAGATAGACTTCACTGACAGTCTATTCCTGCGCTACTGAAACAAAGTAAAATCAAAAAGAATTTATATGAAAAGAATATTATAATATTCTAAAGTAACATTACATTAATGTTATAATAAATTATAATATTGATGCAATGTTACTCCTAGTTGATATTTATTAGTCGAAATTGGACTATGAATACTATCTTGCGTCCTTTCTTGACATTTAGTCAGTAGAAACTGGAGATATCGAACAAAATAGCGCAAAATGCAGAGGAATATATATTTTCGTGGGTTTTCTCGAAATCGTAACTCCTTTCAAGCTGAAAGAATTTTTATTGAGTTGTACTTTATCTCTGTCTATATCTTCTATTCGCGATATCAATCATATTGAAAGTATCGACAGTTTAATAGCGCAGTATACAGATCAGCTTGAAAGGGTGAATTGGCGTTATATCAACACTGCACTTTATCCATTGCGACATGAGCGCACGCGAAATATAGATACATATATTCAGAACTGAAAGCGCGAACAAATTCCGTGGTCCGCTTGACGTATAAGGTTTTATGGGTTCCGTATTGATTTTCTCACACGCGAATGCAGCGGAATTCTGATGTGTCGCGTTCACAGTGTGTCAAAAGAAATGCGCAGTTGTTATGGACGAAAGTTGATCCAAAACAGCGAAAGCGTTTCCCCAGTAGAAATCTATGCAGTTTTACTAGACACCTAATCAGTTACTGTCTAGTATTACTGTATTTCATAGTTGTATCGAAACTGCGCAAAAACTGGAAAGGAACTGAACATAGTTTTATTAAGTTTTATATCGCATACACATGTGCATGATAAAAATTATATTGTATAGAGACAATCTTAAAACTATGTAAAGAATAAGTGAACGCGTAGCAAAATATAAAGCAAGGAAGAAGTTGGAGGAAATCTGGAATTTAACAAAACAACACGTTATGGCAAAAGTGACAAGTAAAGTTAGAGTTGAATGTCAAATGACAAATGGCAAATGACAAATGGGCTGTATATTAATGATATAGAATTGTATTGCGACAAAAACACATTAGACTATCTTAGAAACGCACCTTAGATTTCCTGTACTATTGTGGATAAAGGTTGTCCGACTTTTTATTGGCAACGTAACCTAAAAATTATCCAATGAGAGAATAGTATCTAAGAAATATGTTTCTTATATTGGACTATTCGGTTATATTCTGAAACTATTACAAAAAATCAGACATTCTTTATGTCTACGACTGTACTGACTTTTATTAAAAATTAAAATTACAATAAGCAAGCATGCACACAATATCCATTATTACTAGCACAAAACTCCATTTTATGAGCAATAAACTTGCTTATTAATCGACTGAATAGTTTCTTTATCCAATTATTGCTCAGTTCTCGGTCAATAAATGAGTTCAGATATTGCACATTTTTTGTGCACAGTAACTGCAGACAAAGCGTTGATTGGGATCCTAACAGTTTTATTTGTCAGTTACTGGGCAAATGTTAATATAACTGTTCAGTAACTGCTTACAAACTGCGTGAAATTTCTACCAGGGTTTATTAAGCATTAAAGCAAAATGGCCTGAATCGGGAGCACATCTATTTCGAACTTTTTCGAAAGTTTGTAAAGAGTAAAAATAAAAATTGGAGAATAAAAATTTATTATTTTATATATCATTAAATTAAGTTAAATTAAATAAATAAATAAATAAATAAATAAATAAATATATATATATATATATATATATATATATATAGGGTGTCCCGCGTAAGACGGACCAAAAGGAAAATATAAGTAGAACATATTAAAGTGAACAAATATTATATAGGCCATTTTTTAAACAACCACGTAAAATTTCGAGATATTAATTAAAATAGTTAAACATATCAAAGCGCGGCGACACGGCAGGCAGGACATACGGCTCACCGCGGCCGGCGAAGAAAATGGATGATCTATCTTATAGGCCAGAGAGGTGGGCCGTTTGGCATACTGAAATGAGTAGCTCCGTGTGTGTGTCCGTGTACGTGTGCGCTCTTATAATTTTTGTTCACTTTAATGTGTTCTACTTATATTTTTCTTTTGATCCGTCTTACGCGGGACACCCTGTATAATGGAATTTTATGCCTCACGTAACACTCATGTCTATATAGAGAGAACGATTTGTCGAATCAAATAAACCTTTCTTTGGAATATAGTCCAAACGAATTTTTTGGTTGACACAACAAAAATATTTCTTTGGAACTAAGCCGCAAATAAATAGTTTTGTTGCTCAAACAAAATTTGATCAAACAAAATTTTGTTTGATCAATCAAATAATTTGTTTGAACCATTCCAAAAAAGTGTTTATTTGATTCAACCAAATCATTTTTTCTGTATAAAAGACGTTTTAGAAACGTGTTTTACTGCCTCAAATATATCTCTTATACATATGCATATTTTGTGTATGAGATATAATTAAATAATATAATTATATTATTAAATAATTTAATATAATTAAATATATATATATAATAAAAAAAAAATATATATATATATAAAGATTAATAAAAAATAAAATAAAAAATATTAATTTCAATTCTTATTTTATGCTTTTTATGAGTTTAGTTCGCTCAATATTACACTTTTTATTATATTTATTATATATCATTAAATATTTATTTCTATTAAATTATTTATTATATTATATGTATTACTAACAAATCAATACTTTTACTACTGATTAATAAATTATTAAATTAAATAAACTATTATTAAATTAATAAAAATTATCATATCACACATGTTAGATAATATATAGAAGAAAATAATAAATATTAATTCCTGCTTTTAATGTATGCTTTTTACGGGTTTTAGTTTATTCTTATTGTTCTCTACTATATTTATTATTATAAAATATTTATTTTTACTTATTTATTATATTTATTATTACATATAAAATTAATTTTGTTTATGCTAATTAATAAATTATTAAATTAAATAAGTTATCATTATTAAATTAAAATAAAAATAAAATTATAATTATAATATTATAACGATAAAATAAAAACTTTACCGCAATTAATTACAATTAATCACAGCCATTTTTTTTATTAATTTGAAAAATTTATATGTTGAATTGATAAGCGGATACTGATGTGGTTGAAATCGCGAGGCGATAAATTTGGATCGTAAACGGAAAGACTCATAAAGCTCGGCGATATCGTTGACTCGTGTTACGCAACGATATTATTCGCGGTTCCTAAGGTTAGTGTAATAAACCTGCAAGGGGAAGCGTATACATCGACTGTACGCGATTATGTACAGGTGGGATCGTTCATATTATTCGCTGAGTCAGTCGCGCTGATTGTTTCTTTGATCATGCGATCCAAGGTACATACGATTTATGAGAAAACAACAACCATCGCGAGCACAGTCGTTAGCTAATCTAAATTTAGATTTACTCGCGACATAAACGCGCCGCACTCGCAACGTTAATTTAGGTCGACGTAAACAAAATATGACACGATCATTAGGAGTTCATTCCGAATACGCGCCCTCCAATTCAATTGGACGATGTGACTATAGAATTTTACGATGTTAAGTAAATACGATATATTATCAATATATATGGTGTGTAAATCAATACGATATAAATATTATACACAGTCGTCGCTTTCGTAATGGTGATAGAACTGTAAAATGTATGATTCCTCGTGCAAAAATAGATAAGAAATATAATGAACATTGTTTTACGAAACTCAAACATTTTTGCAACTTTTTTAAAAGATTAAAAATTTTGTTGCATGTTTTGATAACATTTTTCGCTCAACATTTATGTATTATTTGAATGAATCAAAAGGCATGGTAATAACGTCTATATAGGTGACAACTATACTAAGAGAACTACACTGAGAGAGAAATGTCTAACAAAGAGACATCGAAACGTAATAATAATTGATTCGAATGAAACTTGTTATCACGATGGGTGTTCATGTAGAGTATTATTGAATAAAAGGATAAGATACTCACTAATCAAACGTTCGCGAGAAAATTGATGGTAAACATTTCGAGTAGTTTGAATATAACATTATTCCAAAGATCGCAGCAGACTTGGTAACATTGACGTTGCTGGTTCGAGTCTCGATGAGCACTTTTCTCTTTATTCCACAATTGTTTTTTCATCACAATGCAAATATAACAATAAATAAATAAAATTTATATAGATTAATATATTTATATAGATTTATATATATTTATATAGATTAATGTTTTATCTATATATTTTTAAAAAAGAGGTTTTTTTCTTTTAATTCTTTACCTGGAAATTATTTTGAAATAGCTGTGTATTATTATAAATAAATGTAATTACGTATTGTGTTACTAAACAATAAATGCGGATAGCAGATTGAGATAAGTAATGAAACTACAAGAAAAAAATATAGTTCATTAATACATAAAAAAAACATTATTTTCTAATTGCTGGAAACATGGTACAGTACAAATTGCAGAATATTTATCATAAAAGCATATGAAGTGATAATTCGAACAATACTGTGCGTATATATGAAAGCTGTGGTCAATTGCATAGGTTTTTTTTAAACGTCAAGCGTAAAACATACTTTATTCACGTTCATCAATACTTCTCTTTTGTTTGCGAGTTTCGAGGCGAACTACACATAACGTAACATATTTTCGAGAATTAGGGTGTGCAATTGATAATGAACAATGGAATAAAAAATGAAGGTTTAAAAAAATGTATATTTTCTTATTTAAAAAATATTTTATATATTAATATAAGTAAATATGTTATTAGGTGTACAACTTTGCTTCCGCCGTTTTTTTTCCGAAATTCGAGGCTTTATTGTAAAAAACTGGTTATACATTTATGATTCAAAGTATTGTCCATCGCTGGCCACTACTTTCTCCCATCTTTCGGGCAGCGTACGAATCCCGCGTCGAAAAAACTGGTCATCTTTTGAGGCGATTCATGAATCGATCCAATTTTTTACTTCTTCATAAGACCGGAAGTGCTGACCAGCCAGGCCGTGTGCCATTAATCAAAACAAGTGATAGTCAGAGGGAGCAACGTTTGGAGAATACGGCGGGTGGGGTAGGACTTCCCATTTCAACGTTTCCAAGTATGTCTTGACCACTTTCGCAACATGGGGTCGAGCATTGTCATGCTGCAAAATCACTTTATCGTGTCTCTCGTTGTATTGCGGCCGTTTGTCTTTCAATGCTCGGCTCAAACGCATCAATTGCGTTCGATACCGATCGCCTGTGATTGTTTCAGTCGGTTTTAACAGCTCATAATACACTCCGCCGAGCTGGTTCCACCAAATACAGAGCATGACCTTGGAGCCGTGAATATTCGGTTTGGCCGTCGACGTGGAAGCATGGCCGGGAACTCCCCATGATTTTCTGCGCTTGGGGTTATCGTAATGAACCCATTTTTCGTCCCCAGTCACAATGCGATGCAGAAATCCCTTCTGTCTTTGCCTTTCAAGCAACTGTTTACAAGCAAACAAACGCCGTTCAACATCTCTCGGCTTCAATTCGTACGGCACCCAATTTCCTTGCTTCTGAATCATTCCCATGGCTTTGAGGCGTTTTGAAATGGCTTGTTGAGTCACTCCCAATGATCGTGCCAATTCTTCTTGATTTTGACACGAGTCTTGATCAAGTAATGCCTCCAATTCTGCATCTTCGAAAACCTTCTCTCTTCCACCGCTATGCCGGTCTTTGACGTCAAAATCACCGTTCTTGAAGCGTTGAAACCACTCACGACACGTTCTTTCACTAATAGCGGCCTCACCATAAGTATTTGAGAGCATTCGATGAGTCTCAGCCGCAGATTTCTTCATATTGAAGCAGAAAATTAAAACCTCCCGCAAATGACGAGAATTTGACCCGTAAACTGACATTTTCAATCGAGAATAACTTTAAGATGCAGACACAAATCGACTAATGTTTCTATGGGGTTATGTTGACAGATGCCCAAGTTTATTGTATGACGTCTATGATCTATTTATTTCGACCATCACTTACTGCTAAAGCCATCTATAAGAAAACGGCGGAAGCAAAGTTGTACACCTAATATTAGTATCTCTACTGCGAGTAAATATTTATTTTTTAGATATTTTTTCTCTCAATGTATAATACGCGAGTTTTATATGTAGACTTGCAATATATATAGCAATATATATGTATATAGTTTAGTAAACTATATACATTAATCTACATACAAAACTCGCATATTTGTCATCTATATAGCTGTTATCACCGTGTTTTCTTCTCTGAGCGTACATTAATGGTTCTATCGATTTTCTCAAAAACAGAGCTCCATAAGAAACCAAATTTACTCTATATTTTCGTTTTATTTTTGCGTGAAAAGAATGCTTTCTTTTACTATTCTGTGTTACGATTATATAAAAAGACAATCTTATTCTTAGTGGATATTTTCTTTTATATATATGGCTTCAACAGGATTCTTTTCATTCAATCCTTTCATTCAAAAAGAAAACATTCTAACACGAAAAAAGAATTTTACATGAAAGATGCTATTTCCTGTAATCTCATTTTCTAAGTAAAATTCTTACCGGCGAGAGAAGAATATTATTTTTCTATTGAAGTAAACTCTGTTAATCGAAAATCTACTAGATATTATTCGAGTTTTTTTTCTTGAATCAAACAAATATTTTTATTTGAAATAGAATACTCTGTTATTAGAAGTAATTTTTATTAAGAACTTGTACTGTAGATAAAATACGAAATTCCTCTAACTTTAAGAACATCGTACTTGGAATATCTTCCTTTCGCTTTTAGAGGAACCTTTTGAAGATTATTTAAGTAAAATGACTTCGACAATATATGTTAAAGTCAAGCTGATTGGAGCTTTGATTCCTCTAAACTAAATCCTCTTGAGACCATGTATAAAATAATGTCTTGTAAGAATAAGATTATATATTTTTTGGGTAAGTCAAACCCTGCATAACGTCACCGTGCTGTTATTGCGGTATCACACTGCAGCTACTGAATTGGAAGACTCCCGATTTCAGGATACGGACATATCTCACCGAGCACGAACACGGGTAGAGCCATCACGATCGTTTATGCGATTTTCGGTATCCCGATGTTCCTCATCATCTTGGCCGACTTTGGTAAATTATTCACGCGCGGTATAAAGTTCCTGTGGGCGTTCGTGAGGAGGCTGTACTACACCGGCAGCTGCCGTAAAGTTCGTGGCACTGTGCCCGTTCAGGTGAGACTTGTTCACATTTTCACCTCCGCATTTTCTCGATTCTCTACTTTTACTTTATTGTCGCCTTTACCCTCTCTTCTCTTTCTTTCTTGGATCTTTTGCTCGATTCATTCATTCAAATCGTTCCGAATGGAAATTGCAGGAAGTCATGAAAGGCGTGCAGCTCGTGTACGATCTCGCGAAGTTCCGGAGGCCCTCGCAGATGAATCCGGAGGAGATCGAGGAGATGCAGAAGCAACAGGCACAGCAGCAGCCGCAGACAGTTCTGAATCTGGACGCGAACGCGCCGGACTCGCCGGGAACACCCGCGTTGTCGGCGTTCGCCGTCGACGACGAGTTTAACTTGCCGATATCAGTGGCGATATTCATCCTGCTGGGCTACATATTCGTAGGCGCGACCTTATACTACATGTGGGAGGACTGGGGCTTCTTCGAGAGCTTCTACTTCGTCTTCATCTCCATGAGCACCATCGGCTTCGGCGATTACGTGCCAAAGGTGATTATCTCGTGGTGGAGTTTTCGTTAGTTCCCGTAATAGTCTTGCACAGATACAACTTCGTGAACTTGTAGACGATACTTTGTATCTAGATTCATTCACCCAACAAATATAATCTTATTCTTAGAGGGAATATTTTTATATATATAGTTTCAAATGAATTTCTCTAAAACCACAAACGGGAAAATATTTTAAATAAAATATTCTTGAAATTAGAGGGATTTCGTCTCTCTCGTATCTACAGTACAATTTTTAATAGAAATCTTTTCTAATAAAAGGGCATCCTTGAAATGAACATATTTCTCTACAGAGTTCAAAAGAAAGAAAAGTCAGAATAATATATAGTATTTCATTTCAATAGAAGAGAAGTACTCTTTTAGTAAGAATTTTCGCTTATAATGTACAGGAAATAACGCCTTGCAATTAAAGATCTCTTTTTAAATCTTAGAATATTTTCCTCTCGGTTTTAGAGGAATCCTCTTGAGACCATATATAAGAGGAAATATCCATTAAGAATAAAATTATATTTTTTTGAGTGCCCATCGAATTATAGACACCGATTTGTGGCGATTGATCGTGTAGTCGAGAGGTAAATCGCACAAAGTCGAGATAGAATCGGTAGAAATTAGCGAGAACTGGTCTCACGTTGTAATTTACCCTCATTTGCTTCGTATAGGGACAATAAGTTCGCGAATTAGGTTTGATTTGCCCTTAGCGCTCTTTTCAATTAGCCTCTGATCGAATCTCGCTTGTGTCCTGTACAGCGAACAATTAACTCATTCTCGTGTTTCTCTCTTTCACGGTGGCGTTCAGATGGTAAGCTTCTTCACGCGACACACATACACTTATACACACATACACATACACGCACATGCACGCACACACATGTGCATATATTACATTTCCTAAACGAAACCGTATACAACTGTGATGTATTCGTTGTTTCTTTTCCTCTCGCACGTTGTTTATTTTCTTTCGCGCGAATCGCCTCGCTATGTTAGTGTACATATCCTAACGCACACGTGCCGCGTAGAACAGAATTTAACGGATTCATTGATTGATTGATCTAGCACCCCATATACATGATGTGTTCGATAGTATACCTGGTGTTCGGCTTGGCGCTCACGTCTATGTGCATCAACGTCGTACAGGTGAGTGGAAGAATTCATATTGGTAAAAGTACTAATGCATGGACATGTCTTTGATCCTAGCAAAAAAAATTTCAATTGGTGCAACCAAATAGGAACCAACTGAAAATTAGGTAATCAGAAGCGATATCTCTGTTATGAAAACTAATATTTCTGTTGTCGGAACCGAAAATATTCGTCTGAACATTCAATGATATTAGAACTCGGTTGAGGCAACTAAGAACAATTGACTATACAGAAACCTCATAATAGAATTTTTCTGTTCCTACAGCCGTTTTCGTCTGATCCCTGAGCAATCGAAAATTCGGTTGCACCAATAGAATTGTTTTTTCCGTGTAGATGCTAGTGTGTCAGTTTTTAAATAAGAATAATCAAACTTATTCTACGTTTTATTACAGAAAAAAATTCTTGTTTCTTAAAGTTTTACTTACTATATCAAAACACTTGTTTTCAAATTTACTGATTTTGTTGATGGCAATAAGAAATAATTATTTCATCATAAAAGATAATTATTTGTAAGATTAATTAAAGCGTTTTAAATTATAAAAATAAGTGAGGCCATTTTTTTAAATTTTGAAATAAAGTATAAGCTTAATTTATAAACTCTAAATAGCTCTAAATAGAGCATAATAGACTCTTAAAATTTTATTATATAAAATATAATAAAATGCCCAAGCATCAGTATGTGCATTTGTTTTATAAAATATGTCGCTTATTAAATATTTATATCGCGGAGACTGATATTAAATTAATGTTTTATCTTAAAAGATAGTCTGATCTGTAATTTACACGTTAATTGTGTGACAAAATTATCTTTATAACTAAATTTTATATAGCACTCTCTCATAATTTTATATATTTCTCTCTAATAGTTGTCATCTGAAACAATCTCATGTGAGATACTCAGATTTTTATATAGAGTTAGATCCAAGTTTTTTAGTTGAATATACAACATTATGATATATACAACATTTATATCTGCAATCATGATTTGACTCTAAATTCTTATCTAACTCTGAATTCAGAACTGAGTATCTCACTTGAGGTAAGTTTCAAATCACGACTATTAATACGGCCCATACCGTTCTTAATCGTTCAGAAACTGCTATATTTACTTCACGTCTGCTATATCAGTTTCACGACACGAGGATGGCGTGGAGGCCCGGTACTGCGCACTAGAAAGAAATACTGTTTATTAATCCGATCAAATTAACCCTAATCACGTCGTCAGGTGATGCTGTCGGACTCGTTCAAGCAAGCGAGCCAGAAGATCGGAGCCACGATCGGCTTCGAGGTTGCTGAGGACGACAACTCGGTGAAACCCGCGGCGCCGCCGCCTATCGAGGTCGCAGACGTTCATGTGAGCATGAAGGAGTCCGAAAGCGGCGAGAAGATCGCGCCCAAAGCCAAGCAAGAGGACGTCGATTTGTAGATGCATTTCTTCCAGAAAATTTCGATTCGATTGAGCGACCGACAATACACTCGCTCGTTCGTTCGCTCTCCCATTCTCTCGCTAAGTTCGTTTCGCGAAACGCGTGCGAACTATTCGGCATTAAGAGTAATCGTCCGCTGGCTTACGCAACACGGAGACGCACTAATTGCCGCAGCACACACGCAATCTAAGCTTCAAGGTACAAATACGCCGTCGAGTCGTCTTTACGTGACAAGAGTCCCACGATTCGTACGCGGCCCATGCCGAAGACAGCGGATTTGTTGGACTGTTCGTTTGTGGAGTTGTGTTTGTGAATGGGTTTTGATCGAACCGGATAATTAGTTCCGATTAACATAGAGTAAGCGAACCTATTTCGGAACAGCACCTGTTTCGAAACACTTTAATTTTTTTCCTGTATTAGCCGTCAAATAATATCAAAGTTTCATGTTAGTACATGTTCTTTGTTACTAACATGAAAATTTGACGGCTAATATAGGAAAAAAATTAAAGTGTTTCGAAATAGGTGCTGTTCCGAAATAGGTTCGCTTACTCTACTTTCGATGGTGTCACCTCAACGGAAGAGGCTAATAATAACCATCGCAAGATGTTAGGCACGATAAAACATACGGAATAATATCCAAACATATGTCTAAAAATAAAACCTAATTGAAAGAGATAAGGCCAATAACATACAAAATATGAAATAATGCATTTGTTTTGTCTTTCACGATACTGAATTTTGCTAATAAGTAATAACAAGTGAAGGGAGAGATTAATATATCAGAAGAGACAAATTTTAATATTTGACACTAATTAATATTAAAGGGGAGAAGAGAGGAGAATATTAATATTAATTAATTAAATAAATTATTAGTAATTAATAAAAAAAATATCGGTTTCACATGGCGGGTGAAAATGACGTTTTAATAGTCCAGAAGAAAATTTTGACGCCGAACACTTACACATGAAATAATATTATTCTTCTATGTTTTTTATTATTGCGCCTAAAATTCTGCGATGGTTCTTATTAGTCTCTTTTATTAACGTGTGGTTAAATACCAGAAACCCTCATATCTATACTAGCTGTTTCAGCTGGTATCGGGGAAATCGGGGCTAGATGTCCTATATTTTAGAATTTTGAAGTTACAACTTCTCAGGTAACTAATTGTTGTGACTGACTGTATCAACAAGAGGCTTCTTTTATGTATTAAATGTCCACTATAATCCTGTTAATCGTATTGTTTTGTAATAACCAAAATACGAACATGCAGTAACACAACCATCTTGCTCTGGTATCGGGTTTAGATGTTCAATAGCTCAGAGTAAAGAAGGCCATGTATAAAATATGTATTCTGTTCCCGCGAAAGGCCTCTGTAGTCTTCTTGCCAACCTTTGATTATGGGCCAACTTCATCTCGTCCGCCTATATGCTTTATTTCAATCGTTTTACGAATGAAAATTGCATCTATTGCCAGAAATAGTATATCATGCACCAGTGTGGCTACTTAGATAACATGCATGTCTAAAAGATGTCGAAAAAATATAAAAAGACATCTTATGCAACATTTTGTTGCATAAAACATCTTTTAGATATCTTTTCGACATCTTTTAGACATGCATGTTGTCTGGATAGTAACACGTTGCTTAATTTTATTCAGTCACGATGGAGAATATTATAATTTACTTGGCTATTATCAAATAAATTTTTTATATTTTTTAACTGTAATATTATTCTGATTTTAATGAAATTCAGGAGAATGTATTTATGTTCTAAAAGGACCATTTCGCGATTTTGTATTCCATATTCTTCCCAAGATAAATACTAAAAAAGTAGATGAGCAATATATCCCTGGGGTAATATAGCTCCGGTCTCCCCTAATCAGTGCTCGTGTGGATTTTTATTTATTCATTTTTTTTAATCCGCCGTTAATTCAGATACTTCTAAATTCTATGCGGGTTCCGCGGGCGTCTCATTCGAAGTGAAGACAGTCCGGACCGGCGGCGTCAGCGCGATGAAACTTCTAAAGCACAATTATACATCCGTCTATCGTTAAAATCGCGTTAAACGCACGCGGTTCTTTTGAGTAAATGTATATATTTCCGAGGCGCGTGGAAATGACGATGGCGATCTCGCGCGATGCCGGGTATCTAATTGCGTCTGTCACAATTGCGAGCGATGAATATGTATGCGAGACTCTTCGCCCTGTAATGTAAGAGTCGAGATTCGTCCGCTATTTTTGTGAATGGTACATCGAACGGATAAGAAAAATATCGTCACTTCGCAGCCGCGCTCTTGCCAAATGCTCGCGGGTCAGATATACATCTCGCGACTTATTTTTCGTAGTCTAGTGTCTTTTGACAATATACATAAGGGAACGCGTATTTTGTATATTTTGTGGTCCACACACGTGTTGAGATCCGAGTATCTTGCCATCTCCGAGTTGATTTTTATGTATCACACTCAGAGAAAGAGACGATGGTAACTATATAAGTGGCAATTATGCGAGTTTTGTATATGTAGAATTAACGTATATAATTTAATAAGCTATATATAAAATTATATATATATATATATATATATATATATATATATATATATATATATATA